CATTCCTTGAGTCGGCGCGGGCAAGATACTTGTCTTAAAACCTGCTGTAAACAACTTTTGCTGCAGCCACATAATGATATGGAATATAAAACAGCCTCACTACTAAGAAAAAAGAGAAAGAGACAAATTATACATATATTCTTCTTTGGTTTGACAAGTCTGTCTTATAAGGAGAAAACTGAATAATTAATTATCTATTTCAGAAAATAAATCATAGTTACTTAGGATACGTAAAGGAAATGATATTACCGACTGCCGGCGGAGTGCCTGACTTAACCGTAAACAAACATGATAATGGTTTCTTAGAAATTGCTAGGTTTTCCGGGAAAAACCTGCCGTGACTTGAAGTAAATATAATATTTCTAGAACAATGAATGTTTTAGTTTCGCACGAAATCTATTGGCTGACAGTACCTTCCGGGTTGCGTGTTGTCACGGCTGCTTGGACCGGCAAGCAAATCTGAATACTGCTCCGTATTATTTACAATTTGAAAGTGATTTCGTAACGATTGTTCTCGCAATATGTGAGTGCCTTTACAGTTTGTTTTATCGGAGGGAGTTAAACTTAAAATGTAAGGCCCAGTAAAATCAGGTAAGCATCATCTAAGTGAGTTGACATTCAAATTTATTACTTCGAGCGGGTTCATCGATTGCGAAGCACGGTATTCCTGTATTCTTAAACCCTTTAAAACTGTTAATGCGGAAAATCTTCATGGATCTATTTGCTCCATCGTTTCATTTTTTTTACTCCTGTTACTCCTTGCTTTATTATTGTAGCTTTGTGTACAGACATTCAGGGGCACCCAACGTCAACTTTCGGAAAATATCTGTTCGGAAGACGATTTGAGATCTAGAAGTTTCAGAACATTTGTTGTAAAATTTCTTGCTTGCCTTTCTCTCCTAAGATTTTCGAACATCTAAAAAATGGTATAATTGCCCATTCTTAACGGATTTTTACCCTGAATTCTAGGGAGCCTTTTTCTGGCTGAAATCTTCGACAAGGTAAGTTTTGATCCCTATAATTTTCGGATCACTAGACTTTCAGCTAGGAATCCGGTCCGAACAGATGAAAAACTTTTCGGGGATAAAAATATGCCTATATCTACAACGTACCGTTGATTTAAATACTAAAATACGTTTAATAATGCTATGTTTAAGTGGTTTTATGTATTCTCGTTGGGTGACCCTGGACATTCTCGACATGATAGGTTACCGTCCATGATACTAGCGGATCGAAAAAGTTTTCTGGTGTTGTGATATCCGTTACTTTCAAATTCAGTTCTGCATACATGTTGATGTCTAACATTTAATTCGAATTATTTGTACTAATATATACTGTTGAGGAAAAAGGGAAAGTGGAATTGCACTAAGTGATATGTTGAGAACCTTTATCTAAAGATATTATGGACGAAAACTTGTGTCTGGCGGATTCGTAAATTAGGCTGAAGAAGTGAAGCGCAAAGGCAGGCCAGCTCTGTGCCGGCTTTGCTAGAAAATATTAAAGGTACATGAAAGTAGACACCAAGTGCGATTTGCCACTGACTTAAAGGCAATGCCAATGCAGGCAGTGGCACATTCCAGTTGGCGTTGTTATTATCTGATTATTTGCTAATCTGAGCTGAAAGAAAAAAATTGTGAAGGTAAAAACATCTACAAAACAGTATGTGATATAATTGTGCTGAGGTTGTTTATGAGTTCCGTTGAGGAATCTGCGGCTAACTTCATGATGGCCCTGAGCGGTTTCAGGTATGTGGAACAAAGCCGCCTTCAAAACCGCCATGCTGGGACGCAAGAGTCGCACTGGGGCAAGACAAACCAACGCCACACATAATTTAAATCGTAATTTCCCGTTTGATTGTCTTGTCCCAGTGCGACTTTTGCTTCCCAGCATGGCGGTTTTGTACCACGAAAATGGCAAGCTGCAAAGGGCCTATCAGTTGGGTGTTTTCACTGAACTAACTGATAAACTGTTTAAGTTTGTTTTCAACATGAACCCTTGTGGATCGATTGTGAAGGCTTTCGGTCTAAAAAGACTCCCTGCTCAAGACACATTTCATTTAAGACTCAAGACCTTGAAACCCATACCCTGTTCGGCGGCACATGAGTAAGTTTACCCGTTTATGAAAAACGGGAGTAACCGACGGGATTTACACGATATTGACAACGATCCATCGCATCCTACGCGCTGTAGTAAAGCAGAAAGTTTCAACAGCTAAGCATAATTCCGTAGATGCAAGGTTTGTTTTTTTTTTCAGCTAGGAACCGGCTGTTGTAAATATGGACCCAAATCAATTTGGCCTGATGGCCCGAATAGCAATGAGTCATGGGAACTTTATAGAGGCCCTGAACCTTATTTCCATGGCCCTCCGTCAAATGCCGCCTGATCTCATAAACACGCCATTTGGTGTTCCTCTCATTGCCGATCGAGCAGAGTGCTTTTGGCAGTTGGGTCATGCTGAAGAAGCAGCGAATAACATGAGGATTGCCATTAGTAATGGATTACCGGATGACGCCGCAAACTCAGAGGTTAAGTTTTAAGTGCTAGTGATAACTGTTTTTTATTGAGCACTTTCAACGACTGATGATGATCTGATGATGACAGACAGAATGCGGACATACAGTTTACCCAGGAGATCGAGGAAAATGATAACAACAGACTAAGAACGACAATTTACAGAATACCGACAGTCCGACACATAAATGATGCGATTGCATGCCATGATCTCTCTTGAAGGCCTATTTACATCGAGTGTGATCGAGCTATCGCCCAGTCTTATCTCGTTTACAACAATACTCAGCAAACTTATGATGATGATAATGATGATGATCACTCAGTGATGATAGTGATAATAGGACAATCACATTACTTTTAGAGGGCATATAGTCATGTGATTATCATTATTATCATTACACAAGGCAAATCGTACAAATTTATTTCATAAGAAAAGACTGACTAACATGAAATCAAGTTGCGGGCTGCATATTCCATTTACAGCCCGCACTTTGCCGTTTGGCCCGCGAAAAGGAGCGTTTTAGAGAGGGCAGTTTGTCAGTCGGCCGCGTGTAGGATTATAGGCTTCTCATTTAAACTTTGACCTGCATGTAATTTTTTTTTTTCAGGAGGAGGCCGCAAAATGGACCAGTCGTGGTGTTTCTTTATATCGAGACCATAACTATGTTCTCGCTGAGCAGTGCACAAGTTTCGCTTTGTATTTTCGTGTGGACAATCCCTTTTTTAAGGCTCAATCCTTTTTGTACAGAGCTTTGTCAAGGTTTAAACTTGGAAATATTTCAGGAACACAAAGCGACGCACAGGAAGTCAAAAGACTTGATAAAAATTTCGCAAGGGTAAGAGAGTTACTTTCTGCTAAAATTTTGAATAATGCTTTTAATGAACTAAAGCTGATCACGTGCTAAAGCTGATCAAGTGTTCTGGTGGATTCTTA